ACCTATAATGAAATTTTTACCAGTCTTAAAAACATTTGCGGGAGCTGGGGTATGAGAATGTGGATCTTATGAATCCCCTAGAGGTCTGGTGCATGGATTCGTGCACCGGTGGGATCCCTTGGCCTGGCCTGTGGGGGCAGAAACCAGCTCTCTGACATCCTCTGAGGGGTCTGGATTGGGAGAGGGTGCAGGCCAGGCTGAGGGACCCCACCAGTGCATGATCGGGGCTGGGGAGGGATCACAGGAGGGCTCCAGGATGTGTCCGGCCCATCTGACTCAGTCCCGATCAGCCAGACCCCAGCAGCAAGCTAACCTACCGGTTGGAGCATCTGCCCCCTGGTGGTTAGTGCACATGATAGCGACTGGTTGTACGGTTGAAACGTCAGAGGGAAAATTAGCATATTAAGCTTTTCTATACATAAATTGGTTAAATATAATTTCTTTAACACACAAAACATTATCATTAGAATCCTGTTTCTACAAAAACTGAGCATATTTGTAGATAAAACAGAATTTGAGCAGAACAAAGGGAGAAAAAACATGAAGTGGAAGAGAAGATAAAGAAGATGTGTAAGAAATAAGTTTCATGAAGGATGCCATGAGAACAGACAAAGCCAAGACTTGGGTGCCTGAGCCAGAGCTCTACAAAACAGCCCCTTTGGGGAAAGTTTAGTATGGAACCCTAGAGAATGTTTACAACTATTTAACAAGTCACAGTCTAGTCCTTGAAGCTTCTTCCAGACCCTAGTACTTTCTGATTACCTTTTAGAGGTAAATACAGAGTATATCAAGTTCAATGTAAAAGATAACGGTTGCTAGGGGAGAAAAGTTACCATAAAATAGAACGGGACTTTTTTGTCACCTATGGTGAAAAGAAATGCTCATCATTACATAATGCCACTTCACTTCTTCAACTTCCTCAACTATCTCAAACCGAACAGAGAACCAGGAGGAAGTTGCTTTTTTTTTTTTTTGAAAAAGTAAAATAAAAACCTCTAACAACCAAAATAAATGTCACAAAGGTTACACATTGCAACTTGTAGACTAACTGGCAGGAAAGTCCCTTTAGGCCTTCGTCAGAGCCTATTCGCTCTTAGACGCTCTTCTAGGAATCGTGATCATCTGTTTTTCAGTAAAATAGAGCTTTGGAGCTGCCACCTAAAAAGGGGGTGGGGAGTGGGCACAATTTTGTTAGATACAGAGACATAGGCAGCAGGAGAAGGAGAGAGCTGGCACGGGGGGGGGGGGGGCAGAAAAGCCATAAACACAAGATACACATTCTCAAAAAGGCATTAGGATGCATTACTAGGGGAACATTTGTCATTCAAAGTAAATGGCCTATAGGCAGGCCACAAAGGCCTTAAGGAAAAGAGCACACACCATAAGTAAGGTGGATAAGGACAACCTTAACTAGCATAGGGATATGCCAAATCTTCACTCAAAATGGTTATAGAAAATGAGAGCACTAATTAGCATGTTTCGGGTCAATGGAATTAAAATCACTCACCAATAGTGCACAGTAGATGAGGCCTTACTCCATCAAGAACTTTGTGATAGAGTCTATTTAGACTACACGCAATGGATAAAGTAAGCCTTGTTTCATTTTGGTTTTTGATGTATGTGATTCTTTCTGCTACAACTCAGAATGCCACCCAGGACTTACTCATTTCATGGCAGGCATTCTCCTCTAAAATGAGTGCACACAGATAATAGTAATTTTTCCCGTGGTCATACAGAACGTATAGACCAGAAACCCTACGTAAATCAGTGTTTTTATCTTTTTCCTCCTTCTTTAAGCTAAATCTGGAGACCATTGGTTTATATGTGAGACTTCGGGATTGGAAGTAAGGTTAAACATGAATGACACAAAGACAACTTACAATATCAGAGGATAAAGTGGCAGGAATTGCAATACAGTATTACATTAAAACCCAGGAAAGTAATAACAGTAAACAACACTGATCTCTCAAAACTAATTTGGAAACCCCTCCACATGTTCCGGTCTAATTCCAAATATCTAATATTGGCTATAGCAATCAATTTACATTTATAACACATCTTTTGTTCTCCTTTTTTTATTAGTTTCAGGTGTACAGCGCAGTGGTTAGACAATCACAAACTTTACACAGTGTTCCCCCTGATATTTCCAGTACCCACCTGGCACCATACACAGTTATTACAATATTACTGATTACATTTCCTACTTTACATTCCCATGACTATTTTGTAACTACCAACCTGTACTTTTCAATCTCTTCACCTTTGTCACCCAGTGCCCCAACTCTTCCTCCCTCTGACAACCATCAGTCTGTTCTCTGTATCTACGAGTCTCTTTCTGTTCTCTGTGTTCGTTTATATTATATAACACCTCTTGAGATACCAAGTTAATATTGAAACTGAGCAGGCCTGGGGATTTGATTGAGTCAACATCATTTAAGACTTTGGAATGCTCCAGAAGAAGAGCATATCATTGGGGCGGAGTCCTTGAAAGCAGGAATGAACTACAATCACAACAGGTCAATATGGACATCTCATAGTTAGCATTAGGAGACCTTTCACAAAATGGTGCCATGCACCATCAGGGCTAATATCATTTTTCTATGTGACACCCTCAGGTGGATTTGTATTCACAGATTTAGACAATAATCTAAATTGAGAAGAGCAATAATACTTCAATAAAAAATCAATCATAATACAATCTGAGGGCAAAAAAAATACACGCATGAGGAAATGAAAAATTTGAAAGCCACACACACACCAAAAAAGAGGTTCTAGCAAATTTGTTCGCGTTCCAAGGGGGATCTTCTTTAGCACCAACCTGTTATCTTCAAATCTTGGAACCTTGAGGGATAAAAAATCAACCTGAGCATGTGCAGGAAAATAGCTCTATATTGCCCCCTAGTGCTTGGCTGTCCCCCTTCTCTTCAGGCTAAAAACTACAAGGTGAGTAGTTCCTCTACTTCTAGTTACTTCCTGCTGCCAGCCTCCTAAGAGCTAAACATAGCCCAATCCTGTGCCCACAGATTAGGAAACAACCAGGCTATTTTTAGCACCATGCATCTTAGGAATGGCAATGGCCCAGCCTCTGATGGCAACAGAATGTGTGTGGCCTGGCTTAATGAACTCACCTCTCCCAAGGGTGTGAACCTACTCCATAAAGTGGCCAATGACCCCTTGAGAACTCTGGGGCCTATTACAAAGTGATCGTGGAATGCGGGTCACAAGAAATGATGACATGGAACGGACAATGAGAGGCACAAGTCACAAAGGGAATCAGGAAGATGACAGAGGCCAGACAGGCGTGATAAGGCAGAGCAGTAGGAGAAATGATATGGGAAAGGAACAATAAAAAAGAGAAGTCAGAAGACAGGAATGTTGGGCATTGTCATTCTGGAGACGCTTGTCTAGTAAGAAGCAGCATGTTGACCTGGACATTTATTTTACATGAGAAAGAACAAAGGTTGGTCTGATCTGTTTCCTGCCAGGGTACAGCTGGTGCTGGGGCTCCTTTGATCACTTTCTCCCAGTCCTCTGCAGCTCCTGTGATTAGAGATAGATCCCTTGGCTGCCCTTTGATCAGCAGCTCAAGCAGCCTGCAGGTGCCATGTGCCATCACATGAGCAAGTTGTAAGAAGCAACCACATGAACAACGGCTGATAAATGTGATCCCACAGATTGCCGCACATACAACAAACACAAACAATGTGTACACAGGTCCCGGGAATCCTTATTTAATGGACTTGTGTACCCTAGGACTTCCTGTGACTTCTTAAAGATGAACACTTTAGAGAGTTTAAATGCAGAGTTGAAACTTGGAAACACCCCACCACATAGAGAAAAAGTTGCTGTGACTTAAACATACAGTACACACCATTCTGATTCCCTAGGTAGGCTGTCTGTGTTCCTTTCGCCTGGTTAATGAAGTGACAGCCTTCCTGCATTCGGGATGAATGACATACAAAGCATTCGACACATGCACATTTCTTTTCAAATAGCATCAAGAGCCACCACTTGTAAACAGGGTGTTTAATATTCTAATTTTAGACAGCCTACATTAACATTGCGGTTTCGTGTGTAGTATAAGATTTCTATTTACAAAGCATTCTCAAAAATGACTTCATAATGGTAGATCAAGAGAAAAAGAGTTTAGAAATTGAATGATGTAAATCATATGGGGTTCAGAGGCTAAGCAAATTACACACCCCGACGCTGCCCTTGGCCTTATGAAAGGAGCCTTTCTCCAGCTCTGTGCAATCCCAGCCCAAGGGAACTTGCATCTGAGAGTTTTCTAAACATTTCAGGTACACTTGAAAGCTGAAAGTAATTCTCATTTCCTATGCAGGATTAGGTCGTTTCCCGCACACACAAAATAGCAGCCATTCACCAGCACGTATAAATACACACCGCTAGAAAGGTATACACAAAGGCACATTTTTAAAAATAGAGCACAAGAGAAATGCACTTTTTTTAATTCACCCTAAAAGTGTCCACTCGGCCTCTTGACCTCTGTGTTTCCTGTCTACTTACTGATTAATTGATGCCTTTCCACTTAAAAGTGCTTCCATTAATGCAGCGGATACGTTTCCTGAAACAGCCCCTCCCGAGTAAAATTTTAAAAATCTGAATAAAGTCAAACATGCCAAGACTCATTCATTGTACATTCGTGTTTAGAGGCACTTCTTGAACTTATAACTGGCAACGAGAGGTCCTGCAATGTGCGTTTGAACTGACGTTCAAGTTCGCTCGCAGAAGGTCCTCTCTCGCTGAAGCGACAGTGGCACTGCGGTTGCCCTATGAGAGCCTGGCGGCAGCTCCCAAAGTTGCAAACTTGCACGTCCCCTCCAAAAGCCCATGGTCCGGGACGCGGCGCGCATCTGCCCGGGGACACAGCCCGCAGACACCCTCGGAGCCCGGGGTACATCACCCGGCGACGCGCAATGGCCAACGTAACACACACACAACGAGAGACGAGGAGGGGGAGCGCGGGGGGCGAGACTCACCGTTCTGCTCCTTGGTGCTGGACAACTGGAATTTACTACTCGGGTTGGACTCAGCCTGCGTCCCGGGCTGGCCGGCCAGGGCGGATGTCAGCAGGAGAAGCCTGAAGAGGAGCATTTGGCTGACTGGGGCGAGAGCTCACTCCCGGCGGGCACTTGGGAAGCAGCGACTCCGGAGCCTCTCTCACCGCCGCCAGGGGAAGGCTGCGCTGGGGTGGACGCTCCGAGCCTGCTCTGGCAGCAGAGAATCGCAGGGTAGTTTCCACATAATCCCATCCAAAACTTTTTCCTAGAGCCCTCTTCTGTGTCTCCAGTTCTTTTTTTTTTTTTTTTTTTTTTTTTTTGAAAAGGATCAAAGCAAAACCTGGACCTGAACCAGTTTCCCAAGGTTTAAACAAATCCTGAGCTGTGCCGAAGTGGTGGGGGTGGGGGTGAAGGCGAGGGAGGAAAGAGGGGGGTGGGGACGCGGGGGAGCCGGGGGAGCGCCGAGAAGTCCCCAGCGAGTGGCTGGGAGCACCTGTCAGTGTGGGGGACAGGACCGTGGCCAACACTCAAGGGTCGCGCGGAGCCGGCCTCGAAGCCGAGTTGGCGGCGAGCACTTTTCGGATCAATCACAAAGCTGCCGATAGATGCGGCTCTCCGGGCGCCCCGCTCCCCCGCCCCACCCCCACCCCCGAAGGGGGAGGGGGAAGAAACTAGGCGAGGGCGCCGCGGCGGGTCCCGGGGCCGAGCAGCCGCAGAGGGGCTCGGGGCCGAGGCCGCCCGGGGAGCGGGCGGAGGGAGGCCGCGGGGCGCGCGCTCCTCCGCCCGGCGCGCAGCCTGCGCCCGGTCCCGACCGCCGCCGCACGGATCCCGGCACCTGGCTGGAGTTTTCCGCGATCAAAGTTCACCTTGTTTGGGGTGCGTCCCCCGCTCCTCCAAGCCCGCGGAAAGTCGGCAGCTCGGGGTCACCGCGGGGCTCCGGTCGTTCCTGGGGCGCTGCCCCCGCGCTGCGGGCTCCCTGCAAACCTCGGGGCGCGGAGCGGCGTCTCGGCACGGGGTAGGGAGAGCAGGCCGGGCGGGCCGAGGCTCCAGTTTGTCCCCTCCCCTTCTCTACCTTCCCCCTGCCGGCGGAGACGGGAGGAGGGGGCCGTGGGCCAAGCCCGGGCGGAGTGCGCCGCCGGCGCGGGGAGGCTGAGTCGCTCACCGGCTGGCTGCCCGAGGGGAAGGACGGGGGTCGCCGCCTACCGGAGGGGCACCCCCGGGTCGCGTCCTCTCGCACTGGCTAGGACCGCCAAGTGGCCGTCCAACAGGTGCTGGCACAGTCAGGGGGGTCCTGCTGGGCTCCCCCAGACAGGACCCGCAGGGCCGGGAAAGGAATGCAGGCAGTCTCCTGGCTTCCTTTCCACAGGGCGCCCTTAACCCCAAAGAAAGAACCAGATGGGTGGTGAAGGGTGCTACAAAAGCAAGCAGAAGTGAGGAAGAACTTTCTGCAGCGCTCTCTCTCTGCCCCCGCCCCCTGTGGCCAGGATTCGTCATTAAATTCCAAGGGGATCCCCATTCCCAAAGGGCTTGGCCAGAGTTTCTGGGCCAAAGGAAGAACGGTAATTGGAATTCAAAGATTTCCCTCTAGTGTCCAGCTCTCTGAAGTAAGGTGGGTAAAGCAAAAGTAAAGACAGACAGCCAAAATAACAACAACATTCATCCATTTAACAGATACTGTATTTATTGAATGCCTGCTGTATCACTCTCCTAGGAGCTGGGACTGTGGTAGTGAAAACAGAAAGTCTCTGTCCTCTAAAGCTTGCATTCTAGTTGGACTGCATTAAATGGACATCAAGCAAATCAGAAGTATCACCCAACCTCTGGTTAAGTCAAAGCAAACAATTCTCCCAGGAACGGGTGCCAGAAGGGATCCGAAGGAAGCATATAGCCTTAAGGTATATGCTGATATAGGAGTGGAGTCTTCAAGGACTCTTTCTTAAGGAGTTGCCCTTCCTGACCTTGCAAGGTCATCTACTAAGTATTGAGGAGAGCTACCCTGAAAAGGGACCCAGGGATGCTGGGACAAGGACCTACTCTTGCTCCCCCAAACCAGGAGCTTCCTCAGTCTTGCTGAAAATGCCAAACCTGCTTCCTGTATGTGGACACCCACTGAGACCAACCCACCTGACCTCTCTGCTGGTAACATCCTCTTAGACCTCTTCTCTTGTTCTCTTCTTAGAACTCTGCTAAGCTCAGCTCCAATTTGAAACCTTTATTCATCTATTGCATTCACTCATCCTGATTTTTATTTTACCACTTCTATCTTGACAGAGCACAGGATACCAAGGCAAATAAATAAGGCCCAGTCTTTGACTTTAAACAACTTCAGTTTAGAGGACACAGCTATTATATCCACGTTTGCAGCTCCTCGACCTGAATTGTGAATCCATATCTGCACAATAAATATGTTCCAAAAATATTTTGTAGATTTGTGAGCGAGAGCGGAAATGTTTCCAATTTAACCGCATAATTTGACTTGTTATATAAAAGACATGCTTCATGAATGCGTTCTAATCTACAGTCGTGTGCAGCTTAACAACCGGGGTGCACTCTGAGAAATGAGTCACTAGGTGATTTCATCATTGTGTGAACATCACACAATGTATAGAGTGCAATAAGCAAACCTAGACGGGATAGCCTACTGCACACCTGGGCTATGCGGTATGACCTATTGGTAGAGCCTACAAGCCTGTATGGCATGTTACTGCACAAGACCGAGATTAAGTCAAACACAATGAGAAATGATGTAATCAAGAGATGCAGTCAACAGGAGACTTCTGAGGCTGCCGCCCTCATAACACCTCATACTGTTTTACAGCAAACTTTGTTCTTGGAAGTAAAAACAGTCCACTCAAAAAGACTGATGAAAGCATAGCATGCTAAATACATAAACCAGTAACATAGTTAGTTATTATCAACATCAGTTATTACATACTGAACATAATTGTATATGCTATAGTTTTATACTACCGGCAGTGCAGTAGGTTTGCTTACTCCAACATCACTACAAACATGTGGTGATGTTACAACAGCAACCATGTCAATAGGCGATGGAAATATTTTAGCTCCATTATAATCGTATGGAACCACTGGTATATATTCAGTGCATTGTTGACCCCAATATCTTCATGTAATGCGTGAGTCTATTTATAATATAACTATTTACTTCCCAGATTTTCTAATTTTGTAAGTTTAATTTTTTTTTAAATCAGGATTTTCTAAATGAGTCTGTTGAATGCCCATATACTTGAGTTTCTTGAGAGAGAGAGAGAGAGAGAGAGAGAGAGAGAGAGAGAGAGAGAGAGAGGCTGCAGATTAAATCCATTTGCTCTCACAAGATTATAAGGATGATCTCTACTCTTTATTTTGTATCATTTCATATTGGCTAGAACAGTGCCTGGCCCAGGGGGGATAATAAATAAACACTCTTGACTGACTGACAGGGTTTTTTTATTGGAGTCCCTTACATGCTCCCTGGAATTTCAGCATGAAGGTTGCATTTGAAAAGTTACAGATGATCTAGAATAATACTCTATCTCTGCATTTTACCTCATCCACATTCTACAGATTGATTTGACAATCCCCTTACAAATAAAGCCAGCCATGACCCCCAGACAAAATCACGTCCACATTGCCTGGTTTCCTTTCAATGGACTTGCATTGTTGTTTCTTAAACTCTCTTGCCCTTGGCATAGTTGATTTCTTTTAACACTTTATCCTTTGCCTGTCTTCCTGCTCTATTTAATTATAAACATTTCTTAGGAAAGTAGGATCCTTGAAGTGAAAATAAATTATATAATCTGGAGTCTGCACAATTACTAAACAATATATTTTTTTATGAATATAGCTTTGCGTTGGCCTAAAGCACTTTCCTTAAAGAAAGACATCTGTTTTGCCAACCTAGAGAAAATAATTGTGAACATTCTTTGTGGTTTTCATGTTTTCTTAAACCTTAGCAAGGAGTGCCCGCTTGGGCTGAATGCCTGAAGAGTGTTGCTACAAATTTCTGTTGAAGAACATAGTAGATGTGCTTAGTTCTTAACAATATAAGTTTGGGGAGGCATCACTGCTAAATTTTTTAAAATGGAATAAAATTTAAAGCAAACTACCCATTTAGCCAGTTATTTAACACCCAGGAGGACAGGAACCACCAAGATATATTTTGCCTCAGAAAATCAGATATTACAAGTTTTCTGGCTCTCTCTTTTTCTGGATTCAATCCCAACACACACACACACACACACACACACAAGAATACCTGCAAAATTATTTTAAGACCTTTCAGTTATTTTGTGGCAGATAATTAAGCATGAATGTCTGAAGTTCAGGCAGCTCTGACCTACTAAATGTCCACTAGAATTCCAGAATGGCCAATAAGCAACACTTATGCATACATTTAAATGAGACCAGGGGCTAGAGGTGTCATTTGTAAGCAAATTAAGTGCCTAAGAATCCCAGCAGGAATAAAGACTGTTCTAGAAAAAAAAAATGAAGTAGGTAGTCTCTCTTAGAGTTATCCTTTTCTCTCCCCACTTTTCCAGTTACTCCCATCCTGAGAAACATATGACCTTGTTATCTCTATATCTAGCCCATGTGAATACTCTGTCTTTCCTACCTAGAATAATTAACACTCTTTTTCTTATGTTTAATGCTTGTTGATCAGTCATCACTACCTCCCAGAGTAACAGCTCCTAATCTGAAAAAGGCTTATTGCTATGGCAAAAGATAGAGGTCTCTGCTAAGGCCCTGCTCTTGAAGGAGCAGATGTGCTTTTTAATTTTGACTTTTGGGGGAGACGAGAGGTGGGAAGTTAGAGGTGTGGGGCCAGGAGAAATGGGTGACAAGGACTGGCCTTCGCATGGCCCTCTGGATTTTCTCATTGAAGCAAAGCTGCTGTTTCTGTTGTGAAATCATGGTTGAGTATGCCATTTGTTTTTCAAAAGTGCTTGTCTGACTCAGAATTCACAGGGACTAAGTAATCAGAAAGAGCCTCAAAGAAAGGGAAGCCCTAGTAACCTTTGAACCATCACCACAACAAAAGATCATTTCACTGGAAGATGGGAGACCAGGGATTTGGTCTGGCTTTACCACTAACAAAGAGTACAACCTTGATCTAGAAATCCTCTCTGCTCCTTTTCTTTACATGAGAAATGTACACTGGCTTCGGTCTCAATCCTCTTACTATTATGGAATCCTTTGATTCTCTGAGCTATTACAGATAGTGATGGCAATAGTTTTTTCAACGTAATGATGTTTCTATGATAATACATGACTAGAACAATGATTTCCAGCCTCAGTACAAAGGTGTGTTGGTGGCTGTCAAAAAATGGTGAACAGGTGCTTCTACCTAAACTTGTCCAATCAGGTAGTCTTTTATCTGTTATTATTATGGCTTGGAAAGACAAGTTCTACTAATAGCCAAAAAGAAGGGGAGAAAAACAAGCTCAGACATCGCTGATTAGGCCAACTATCAAGAACTTTATTGAATTCAAGAAAACTAAATAAATTATATGTGGGTATCCACATTTTAATTTCTTTTAATATTTTGTTTTGATTTTTAGGTAGAGAGGAAAGGAAAGGGAGAGAGAGATAGAAACACAAATGAGAGAGATACATCAATTAGCTACCTCCTGCACGCCCCCTCACTGGGGATTGAGCCCACAACCCGGGCATGTGCCCTGACCAGGAATTGAACCCAGAACCTCTTGGTTCATGGGACAACGCTCAATCCACTGAGCCACACCAGCCAGGCTCCACATTTTAATTTTTAATATTTGTTTGGTATCATGTTAACAATATCAAAAGAGGCAAAATACGGCCCCAAAGTAAGGAAGAATAGCTGTAAGTGAGTTGCAATGAATAAGGACATAATATTGTTTCTAGCCAAGAACAGATGGCCCATCTCCTGCTGTTCTAAACAATCACACAGGAGGAATGTGAAACAATTTTAAGAGCAAGGGGCATCCCTAAAATTGTGGGCAGCAATCAGACCCTATGCTTGGTCATATCCTCCGGTCAAGAAGATGTCATTTTCCTCTCCCTTGAACTCATGTGTAGGATATGAAAGCTGTTGTCTGCATTGTGACAAATCACAGTAAAGGGGTCAAGACACAGCTACAGATCCGCCTTTCTCAGATAGTGACCCTCTTATTTCAAAGGTCATGGGAGAAGGACCCTTTCACTTTGTGATCATTGTTTCAAACACAGTCCTTCCCTTGGCACTAGCCTTTGTAAAAGAGGTAGATAGCCTCAGTACACTGTTTAACGAACATTTAAAAAGCGTTGTTGGTTAGCAAAAAGAAAAATATGGCTTAACTAATCTAATGCTAGAAGCATCCTCAATTGTTTTTAAAGTTCCAGATAGTTCATACCCCTTCCTATAATTATTACTATTACTATTTGCTGTCT